GGTCACTTCGTGCTGTTCACATTCCGGGCCTGCTCAACCGTACAGCCGACGAGCTGTCTCGAGCAATGCTCCCGGGAGAATGGCGACTCCATCCCCAGACGGTCCAGCTGATTTGGAGACGATTCGGAGCCGCTCAGGTAGACCTGTTTGCTTCTCCAGAAACGAAACGCGCGAGAGATCACTTCCGGCGCTTGCGTAAACTACACCAGAGCGCATACACACCTCACGCACCGGATGCCGTGCGTGCGCTCAAGGCAGTTGGACATAGTGGTGTATTAGAGGTAAAAAATGATATAAATACTGTTCGGTTTCTCGCACAAACCAATCGTTTGTGCATGTTTTTTTTACTCTCATAGATTTTGTTACCATTGCCATACATTGTACGACTGATAGACTGCAACAGAAGGGGAATGCCGTCTCTAAGCAGAGGATGGCCCACTGGATTGTGGATGCCGTCACCCTGGCTTATCAGGCACAGGGTGTGCCCTGCCCATTCAGGCTGCGAGCTCACTCAACTAGAAGTGTTGCATCCTCCTGGGTGCTGGCTCGTGGGAAGGATGGGGCTTCAGCAGCGTCCGTTCCAAGTGGAGCAGGTACGTTTTCCCAGTGTTATCCAATCTCACTCAGCGACGTGACTCGGAATGACCGACTGAAGGGGAACGTCTCGGTTACGTATGGTAACCCTCATTCCCTGAAGGAGGGAACGGAGACGTTGTGTCCTTCATGCCACAACTCCGAACCGCCTCTGAGTGGGTTGAGATGCTACTTGACTCCTCAGAACAGAATGAGTGAGCAGATGCCACGCTGGCCAATTTATACCCGGATGTCCGGGGCATGGCCAGCTATGCAAATTCTGCACACCCAATTTCATTGACCTTTTCTCAAAGATGTCAGAGGTGTTTGGGCTCCCAAGAGCGACCCCTAGTGTCGTACACTCGACACAATGTCTCCGTTCCCTCCATCAGGGAACGAGGGTTACCATACGTAACCGAGACGTTTAGACAAGGTCTAAGCTTACAGACTGAACTTCTGGCAGATGTTCCTTGAATCACTCCTTCAGGGAACGAGGGTTACCATACGTAACCGAGACGTTCATCTTCATAACACAAGTTAAGATTTTTTGATGAAATGTAAAAGCTCTCAGACCCTGCATAGACAGCAACGCAACTGTAATTCTTCTCCCCCGAGTTACGTCTTCCGCCATTTTAGAGAGTATCACAATGCATACGCACGCTTTCCCCTAGGCGTAAACAACGCTGATTACGCAGATTACGTTCATGCGCGTGCTTTCTCCCCCGAATGTAAACAATGCTGATTACGTCGATTACGCTCTTGGGTACTCTCCAAAATGGCGGAAGACGTAACTCGAGGGAGAAGAATTTTTAAATAGTTATTTTTGTTTTCTTTGCACTCAAAAAGTATTCTCATAGCTTCGCAAAACTGAAGTTGAGCCACTGATGTCACATGGACTGTTTTACCGATGTCCTTACTACGTTTCTGGACCTGGGAACATTACAGTTGCGTTGTTGTTTATGCAGGGTCTGAGAGCTCTCACATTTCATCAAAAATATCTTAATTTGCGTTCTGAAGATGAACGAAGGTCTTACGGGTTTGGAACAACATGAGGGTGTGTAATTAATGACAGAATTTTCATTTTTGAGTGAACTATCCCTTTAATATTGTCTTGGACAATAAAGAGTCAAATGGCAAGAACCACTTCTCTAAATACTTCGTTACTAAACTGCACCTGTATAAATTATAAATTTATTATTTACTTATTTTCCTCAGCGTACTTCTCGGAGCAAAATCTGACCCCAATCTGAACATTGATGATCCAGTCTGTGATAATTTCTTCAACGATGTTTGGAACAAAATCGCCCAAACAAATGCCATCATCTATGAGAAGGTGAGGGACAGAGCATGTGTTCTGGATTTATTCCACACTCCCACTGTGCCATTTTATGTACTTGATGTCTTTAACTAAAGGTTTTCATTTAAAGTCCCTGTACATGATTTGAACTGATACAAAAGCACTCAATGCGGGACTAAACTATGGCAAAACCTGCAATTACTGTAATTTGCAGGTTGTGCAGTAGTCCTGCAGTAAAGCCTTCAAGACAATAGCACCACTCCCATACACTTCTGTGCTATCATTACCCATATATTTACATTCACAACTCTAGTCCCAGAGATCCCAGTGGGTGCATGTACTAGTTATGAATATCCAAAATGTTTTTGCTCTAAAACCTTGGATTGTAATATTAGGCCAGTGTTGTACTGCAGTATCTTTTCTTCACTGTGCAGGTTTTCCGATGTCTTCCACTGGACTCCATCCGCAACTTGCGTGAGCTGCAGGAACACGTGAATGCTCAAAACCTCAGTCTTACCTACCCGGAGAAAGCCAAAGAAGAACTACAGGCCATCCAGGGCATCCTGGTCCATTTCCCGCTGCACTTCCTGTGCGAGGAGTACCTTCTCCCACCTCTTAAAAGCAAAGAACGAATGGTTCCTATGGAGGTGTGGACATAGCAGGGAAGAGTATCCAGTGAAGTGTGCCAGTGAAACGGAAGATTTCAGAGCTTAAAATATCACACATCTGCTAACTAAGCTGGAAGCTATGGTGGTTTACCGCCACACATTTTGTCCAATTTGGTTTGGACTAAAGTAATGGTAGTAAATGAATGATTAGCTCTGAACACTAACCCAAATTAGTGTAGAAACACAAAATGATCTTGCATAAGAAGATAGACATGCTTATACCAGGAGAATCACATAGTGTAGTTGCTAATTATATGAAGATACAATGAAATTACATCAGTCTTCTCCCCAAATGCCCATTACGACCACGAATGCCATGATCTGAGTATTTAAAATGGCCGAGGATTTAAAGTGCTGCATATCAGATGAGGAAAGAAGAGCGAATAAGGCGAAAGAGAGAGAGTATTTTTGATGAACACAACAGAACGTACATTTATTGTTGTGAATGTGTGTGGGTGGATGGTGCTGCTTTACCTTCTTTTCCCTCTCTTTATTTCTTTCTTGTGTGCACTACACCTCTCAATGCAGTGGCAGCAAATCTGTCAGAACATTTGTGGTTGTTATGGTGACGGGTATAAAGAGCTGACTTGGTCTTGGCTGCTGAGAGAGAGATAGAGAGAACGAAAGAAAGAGGCAGGAAGAGATTGAGAACAAGCAGGAAAAAATAGACAAACCGTAAAAACATGGATAACTGTGTGTGTGTGCCCGTCAGGGCGGGGGGTAGTATGCTGGCATACTTTGTCAGAGAAATTATGTAATGCTTTTTTAAACAGGTAGAGGGGGAGTGTTACGGAGCAGGGATCAGGTGGGGCTTCAAACATGGTGAGATATTCAGCGGGTGTCTCAGCTCAGCCCCCCCCAATCTCCATGACAACCAGGAGAAATTATTATCATTATGTAATAATGTCAGTGGCCCAGAAGATTCCACTTTTGGTTTTTTGGAGGGGGTGTTGACACAAGTAGAGAGCACAGTGGAGGCTAAATAAGCAATGCTAATTTTGTCAGTGCCCCACTTTGTAAACAATCACTAATCTGCCTGTGTAATGTTGTAGAATGTTATAGGTGACTTCACCTGCACTTGAAGAGAATGTTTTAGGGTTTGAACACTGGAGACACGTTAATATACTGTAACATTCCAATCACATCAAGCAATCACCTTTATGAAGTGACAATTCTGATCTTTTTAAATCACTATACCTGTCAAGGCATATTATTGTACCTGCTTTTGCACATTTTTATACTTTTCATGTACATACAATTGCTTTTATTTAGAAAGCATACAGAACTCACTTACTAATACATGAATCTTGGCTAACACTATGTGTTTTCACAAATTTTGGACATCTGTATAGGCCTTACTTAGGGTAGATGCCAAATTGAATTTTCTTCAGATGAAAATGACGCTGTGAACAGTCTTTACAACGGCATGCACTCTTTTAAAACTAACTATTTAAAATAAAAAAAAGCTGTTTTATGGAGTTTTTGTCTACCGATTTGTATTTTATTTTTTTGTCAGCTGAACAAATTGCTTGTTAAACAACAGTGCAATCAATTGAACACACTGTACTTCTTTCCCTCACAGCCTTGTTTTCATTCCTGTCAGAAATTAAATATGGTGCTACCCTGACTAAAGTTTATAAGTGATTTTTTTTCCTAAATGTACGACATTATTTTTGGATTAATGACTATAAATTACATATCACAGTTGTTTGTAAACCAGTGAGCAATCAATTAATTTTTTCCTCCATCTGTTCTCCATTTGAATAAATGTATTAATTCACAGAAGATGCTTTGTCTTGTGTGTGATTTTGTGTACTGGTTTATCCTCCATTGTGGGGACCTAATGTCTACAAGGATAGGGGAAAAAAAAACATTAAAAATACTACATGATGTTCATCTAAAAATGTAAAAAACAAAAAAAAAGTTTTCTGAGTAGGTTTGGGTTTGTGGATAGAAAATATCTTTTGGTTAGTACAAAAACAATGTAAGTCTATGGCATGTCCCTACAAAGACAGCTGTACAAAGTGTGTGTGAAGTTTTGCCTACATAGTGAGGACTAGCCAACAACGATAAATTATTTATACAGCACCTTTCCGGAGCGGTATTCGAGGGTTAGTGTATCCCATCATGCATCATGTTCTGGAAATAAATCGTGAAATTAGGCTTGTTTGAGATGAGCAAAATCTACGCAAAACCGATCACCGCGAGATGCATGCCGGTTAGACAAGTGTCCGATTTACCTCCGAGTTGCTCTGATGTCATGCTGACGTGTGCAAAAAAACTCGCGACGTCGAGGCGGCTGTGTCGCATTGTGCAGTCGAGCGCAGTTGCTCTCCACCGACTGCGCTGATCAATATTTGGACAAGGCATTAGGTAAGGTGAACGGGAAGTAATTAAAGAAATTACTATAAAAGGTCAATTTACTATAAAGACAATAGAAGTCAACAAAGTAAATTATAGGGGAAAAAATGTGATGTTGCAATAGTTAGGGAGGTTTTACCCTGGTACAACCTGTCTCCGTTGTAACTAGGTTATTAAGGTAGTTTGTCCCTGTTGCAGCACCGTAGCACTTAAACACTTCAGGAAGACGGGAGAGAGGAGTGCAGGGGAGGGAGGAAAAAAAACAGAAAGTGGCTGGAAAACAGTATTCTTGCAGAGGAGGGACGTCACAGCCCGACCACAGACAGCAGAAGTAGGAATAGGATCATACCAAGACAGGAGAGAGAAGTTCAATCTGACACATCAAAACATACAACATTACAAGCAAAAGGATAAAGTTGATTCCCGAGGCGACTCGTTAGGGAATATCTGAATAATAATAAATATTATGTATGCATCGTGACCAGTCGCTGCCATAAAGGGTCCGGGCTGAAAACAAGGAACTGTTTATGGTTTTCCGTTCTTCCCCCTCTCTTTCTCTCCAACAAATCGGCGGAGGTTTTGCGCACAACCGGGAGGTGCCGCTGACTGACGGCAGGAGGGGATGAAAGTTTGCCAGGCGGGCGGAATATTATTCGACGTAAACGCTTCTTGTTTTTGACACCAGGACTGCGCATTTCAATCCTGTACACATTGCAGATACTTTTGAAAACTGTGGACATTCACAGAGCCGAGCAGTGACATCGAAATCCACACAGAAATCCTGTTTAAGGCGTGTGCGTGGGTTGCGCCGTAACATGACGGCAGAGACAGATTGACGCGGATATCACGAGCGCCGCTGATTAGGAGCTCGGCTTCGGACTCGCCGCGAAGTTCTGCCTCTTGATTTACCTATTTTGTGATTTATACGGCTCGTGTATATATTAATCTACGGTTTGTGACAGAGGTAGGCTTGGCTTAATTTACGCAGTGCTGCCAACATGAGTGTAGAAACGGAGCGCTGTGTGGCACATCTGACTCAAGTTCATGTAAATGTTGCCATGCAATCTTCAGGATTATAGGCTCAACCTCAGCCTTTATCATCGATAAACGCTCGCTAGGCATTTCTCGGTGTTCTACGGTTAACGTTCGCCTGAAGAACCGGATCACTTGGCCTTAAAGAACCTTTTGTTCTCCGGTAAAGAAGAAACAAACATTTTATGGTCAGAAATCCTGCAGCTGTTGTCGGTTAAACGGGTTGCGGCGGGGACGAGCCGAATGTTTCTCCAGGGAGCTCACAAGTTTTTCTGAACTGCCCCTTGAAATAAACATTGTGATAAAAAATAATAGCGCAGTCGTAGCTGCACTTTTGGAGTACCTATTTAGAATTTTCCTTCAGAAATCTTGTAAAAAATGTCAGAAAACGCACCTACGCGGAGTCTGGATGACATCGACCTGGCCGCCCTGCGGGTGAGTTACTCTGCACCTGCCAGAGGCCTTCACACCCAAACAAATCATAACAGCCTGATCAGTGTCATTATTATGGGTTATGAGGGATAGTGTAAACACATCAGCGAGCTTTTAAGTAATAATATTAAAGGTTTACTAGCTCTTGATTGATTATGTTCTGTGAGCAGTTAAATCTTGGGCCTGTATTGTGTTATCTAATAATCCAGGCCTGAAGTGTTTATGTATTTCTGTATGTGTGTATATGTAAGTCTAGCTTTCTCTCTCCTACCTTGCAAATAAGTGTTGACACTGAATAGGCTTGCTTTGTAATCTTAGAATAGCTCTCTTGTTATATGGGGAATACCCTGCAAAACATTAGTGTAGCTTTCCATTTAGGCCATCTCTCTTTTTGTGTTTACATGCAATACAAATGTGATACAATGATTCAGTGGACTGTTTTTATGGCTTCTAATTTTATTTATTGGACAAAACCCTCAACATTCCCTGCAGGCCAGATGCTGGAAAGTCTTGGTTAATGGATATATCAGATATTTTTACAGCAACGATTGAGTCGGTTTTGGGAAGGGAGAAAATTAGTTGCCCAGTTAGTATGCAGAAGTGGGCAGATTATCATCTTGACATTAATCCAGACTTCATGGCAAGAAGATGATAATCCTTTATCAAAGTCTGTTTTAGCAGGAAACCTGCCTAGTATGTTTTAGCAACAATTAATCTCTTACCTCATACACCACCGTTCAAAGGTTTGGGGACAGAGAGATTTTTAAAAATGTTTTTAAAGTCTCACTAAGGATGGATTTATTTGATAAAAAAAAAAAAGAGTACAAACAGTAATATATTCAAAAAATGTTATTACAAAATAAAATAGTGTGTTTGTGGAGACCATGATACATTTTTTTGTAGGATTCTGTAATTAATAGAAAGTTAAAAAAGAACAGCATTTATTTTAAATAAAAATATTATAAATCTTTACTGTCACGTTGGATCAATTTAATGCATCTCGTAATAAAAAGTATTAATTTCTTTCTTAAAAAAAAACAAAAAAACTTACTGACCCAAAACCTTTGAACAATAACATGTATATATAAACCTCAGAATAGATAGCATATGTTGTATGCCAGAATAGTCCCTGCATAGTTCATGTGCGAGCAGAAGGCTAATCTAGTCATCTAGTTTAGTGGCATGTTAGCAGGTGGCTAATCCAGTGTCTTTGGGCTAATTACGCTCACTTATGAGGTGAATTCCTGCATATAGATAAGGAAACTTATCTGCCATTCACAAAGATCAAAACATTCACTAAATGTCTGGTGTTAAATTGATATTTATGAAAATTATATTTAGTTTTATATTTTCAGTTTTCATTTTAATTTTGTATTAATTTTGTTATGTGTTTTTGTTATTTTTATTCATTTTTTTAAACATTGCTATTTAGGTTTCAATTATTTTAATTTCTGTTTTAGTTTTATCTCAGTTTTAGTTTGATTTATTTCCAGTTAGTAGTTTACCTTAAACTTATGGCACTTATGACCTGTCATTTAGCCTCAATCGAAATCGTCTTCCTTTCAAATGACAGATTTCTGTCTGATGATGCATGCCAGACTTCAGTCATTTAGTTAGTTGCCAAGGCAACATTTCCAATTTTTCATCTAATATTTATATTTTACTTTCCAGTTTTATTTCAACGTACAAAAGCATTTCTGCTAGTTTTAGTAAACTATAATAACCCTGGTAGTTTAACTGTGGCTTAGGAATACCAAGGTATGCATCCTCGTGAATAAGCCATAAACGTTAGAGCTCTGGCCGTAACTTTGTGTGTTGGTACAGTGAGTTCCTGGGCACGGCTCTCCAGGGTTGATGCATCTGATATTGCCCCTGGAGAGAGAGAAAGAGCAAGATGATTCACTTGAGCTCATTGTTTGATAGCTGTCCTATATAACACCCACACACCACGTCTCTCACACACTGTCATATACACATTTAGACTATCACAAGAGGTCGGCTCTCTAGCCAGAATTGCACACAAACGAGGTGGTTTGTAGTTTCGTTGTATTGTTTTTTTAACTTGAGAACAACCTGCTCTCCAGCTCACCTGTGGTCATCTCAGTTTCCGTTCTTGTAAGGATCACTTTTAAATAACATTAGACTTGCCAGAGCATCAAACTTGGCATAGAAGTAGGTGAAGTTATTTGCTAGTGCCTGAATTTTGTAAAATCATATTTAAATGCCTCTATTATATAATCATAACAGCAGCCATTTGATGGTTGGGCTGCTTATGTAAATGAGACATAAAGGCTAATGACATCATAACAGAAACCTAAATAGTAATCATCTAAGCTATTGGGTAAACACAAAGTAATGAATATGCATGGCTAGAAAAATCTGACAAATTTAACAGAAGCTTGTCATTGGCTGATGAATATACTGTAAAACCAGCTGTCGAATAAAGCAGCTGAAGAACACTTGTGCATAAAGCCAGATGTTTGCTGTACACTGGCAAGGAGCAAATCTTTCTTAATGTTTATTGGTGTCTGCATTCATGAGGTTGCAGGTTAATGATGTAACTTGATCTAGTAATGCTTACATATTGATAACCGTATACTGGATCTGATGGGCATTACTTTAGTGCCTAATGGCTTTATCCCTGGTCAGATAGCTGCATGCTGTTCAGAATATTTCCTCAACTGTTTTCATTTTCCAACCTTAAAGGGATAGTTCATCCAAAAATGAAAATTTGATGTTTATCTGCTTACCCCCAGGGCATCCAGGATGTAGGTGACTTTGTTTCTTCAGTAGAACAAACTGTGTACACGCTCTGGCGTAGTTTACGCAAGCACCGGAAGTGATCTGTTAAGTTGGTTTATGAGGGTATTTTTTGTAGCAATGAGCAATGTATGGTAATAATGCAAGCATAATTTCCTGTTCTTTGAAAGGAGTAATCCTTAAAACACATTGAAGAGAATGATCATGTCATACAAACATATATATGTGAATAAGATTGATATGAGCTCACCTTGCCAAAAATGCCAGTCACTTTACTATTTTGCAGTTACAGTTTGTATTCAAATGGGTTTTGTAGACTAATTTGATTTGACATTTCTTTGTTTCATATGGGTTTTTCAGTGGACACTGGCATATATTGGCATATATTTTCCATTGCTATGCTGCAGTGTATGTTCTGTCCTGTCACTCATCACACTTTTACGGACATACCCTGACTCATATTTATCTTGTATTTTTCATTTTAAATTCTGTCATTTCACAATCTTTGAAAAGCCAGAGGCCACCTCTTCACCAACCTTCCTTCCCACTGTCATTCCTTTCTCAATTTGTCCTCCTTTATTCTCCAGGGAAAACCTTATTATCTGTTTATCATCTTATTCATTAGCTAATTTATTCATTTCACTGCTTATGTGTCATCTCTCTTTCTCCCTGAGACAGATGCTCTCTAGAGTATAGACTAATTTCCTTTGATGATCATTGTAAACTCATGTTAAATATTATAAGGGCACTAAAATATATATGTTGGATATGACATGTTATTTTGTTTTATAAACTCTCTTGTTTTTTTAATCCTGTTTGTTTGTTCTCATTTCCATTCGGCCTCTTACTGATGTTTCACATAAGAGCGTGTTGTTCGCTTACAGCTCGCCACTCCAGATCTCTTTGAGAGAGAAAGAGAGGAAGACATAAAAAGAGAGATGAAGAGAGTGAGAGAGAAAAAGATTGTAGTCGTTGGAGGCAGATGAGAGCGAGATGATCGTGGTGTGTATATGTGTGTGAGAGCTAGGAAGAACGTTAGCCTTGTCCACCCACAGAGCTGTACCGAGGCCATATTGAATCACACTCTGTGTGTGTGTGTGTGTGTGTGTGTGTGTGTGTGTGTGCTGTGCTGGCTGTTTTTAACCCTCTACTCTGGCTGCGTGCCCCAGCTGAAGCCGCACATAAGAGGTACATAAAGCTGCTAGAGTTTCATAATGGTTCTTAATACACGACAATACCGCATAAATTCCCTTTTTAAACCCTGGGGTTTAAAACATGACACTTTGTCTTGTTCTCAATGGTTGAGCAGGTAATGGTTCTGTCATTGCCATCCTGAGCCAACAGGGAGCCATTTGTGTAAGAGAGAAAAATAATCTCCAAAATAAGCTTGATTGAAGACATGAAATATTTCCTTTCTTGATCATTGTGCACTTCAAATGATGTTGTTTCCATATTTTTCACTGAGAAAGAACAGAGAGTGAAGTTCTTACTGATAAAACCCAGTGTAAATACACAAACTCAGACGTTTCCATCTATGTTAGCTTTATTTCATTTCTTGCAGCATTCTGAAATGTCCGACCACAATTTATTAATTCTCAAGCATTACCACAAGGGGAAATATAACTAATATTAGCATAATGTATTTTGTATTCATTTTTTTTAAGCTCAAAAAAGTCTAGGTTTTATTTTATCTTTGACCTTGACATTTTTATTCATTTCATCGCTCATACACGACCCCTTTCTTTCAGTGGACTTCAAGCTCTTGTTCAAATTACTGTCCTACATTTTCTTTTCTTTTTCAGTAATCCTTTTCACTTGGATGTGTGTCACAATAGGAAATGAAATGATCTGTCACTACTTCATCACGACTTGATTGAATGATACTGATTCCTCTTAAATATTCCGGTTACCTAATGGAACTTGAACAGTTCTGTTAATATATTTAAAAAAATAAATATTTGGAAAAATACATTAAATTTTTATTTAAAAAAGTTTTAATGGCACAGACTTTTGAAGGCAACTCTACCTTCTCCTTGTTATTGCCAGACCAATGCAATAAGTACACATCAGGTATGTTTAGACTGCTTGTTGACAGTAAGTTGTTCAAGCGGTGGCATCTCCTTTCACATTCTTGCGTAAAATATGTTTCTGGTCTAAGCCTCAAAGGTTTTTTGCAGACTAAATCCAAATCATCTTCACTTTGGAGGTTTTGCATGATTGAATGATTTTACCATTCTAAAAATGGTCTTTCTCTTCCAGGACCCAGCAGGAATCTTTGAGCTGGTGGAGGTCGTGGGCAACGGCACCTACGGACAAGTGTACAAGGTAAGACAGATGCAGGGCGAGAGGAAGAGTGACAGCAGTGTTTTGTTAGGAGTAAATGTTATCCTGTTGTTACTCCGCAATAATAGATGGCTCCTCAAATGATAAATAAAACTCCCATTTATGCTCTTAGAAGAATCGAGTTATGAGCCATATGTGTTTGAAAGTGAGAGCGATGAAGGGTTCAGTGGGAGATGGATTAGAGATGCTGCTGTTGGTACATGAGTAACTGAGGACAGAAGTGGTTTAAAGCAGTTGTGTGCATGTGTACGTGAGGGCATGTGTGAGAATGTCATTGCACTCTCAGCGTGGTGCAATAACACACAGAGTAACTCAGATCACTGCAGCTGTGCTCAGACTAGGGCTGCACAATAAATCGCATGCGATATTTAACGCGCATCTTATTAGTAAAGCTGGTTCTGTAATCATCGGTAAATCTCCATCACCTGCGGGCTTTCACATTGAGCAGCATTAACTACACAGAGCCGTTGTTCACTGACGAGCTGCGCAAAACCACGTTCATATTCGCGCGATTTTTTGCGCAGCTCGTCAGTGAACAACGGCTCTGTGTAGTTAATGTTGCTCAATGTGAAAGCACGCAGGTGATGGAGATTTACCGCTGATTACGCATTAAATATCGCATGCGATTTATCGTGCAGCCCTAGCTCAGACCTGTCAATACTCATGTTGAGATGAAGACGCCTGGATGAGGGGCATGGGTGGTGCTAGGGAGGAACTAGCAGGTACTTCAGCACCCCCAAGACAGACAAAAGCACCCCCACAAATTTTTTCCTGGAATCAATTATATACAGTGGGTACGGAAAGTATTCAGACCCCCTTAAATTTTTCACTCTTTGTTATATTGC